ACCTGACATTACCCACTGGCTTCAAGCTGACGCGCACGACTCCGTCTGTCCGAAACGATGCAGTGAGTCAAAGAGGAGTAAAATATGAAAACTGACTCACTGTCTCTCTAATTACATGTAAATTTATGTCCCCGCGTAGTTTGTGTGGGTGAGTGTGCACGCGCGCGCGCTCGTCCGGAGTAATCAGGTCAATGTCGGCTGGTGGCTGAACTGACTCACCCCAACCACGCTGATGAGACGGTGTGTGACCGTGCGCACCGCACAGGGACGATAGTCGGCGGGTTGGTAAACGTGGTGTTGGGCCGTGCACGTGTACGACGGGCAGACGCTGAACTTTTTTTCTATGGGGGGGGGGGGGTGTCTTCGAGTGTCTCGAACAGCTGATGAGCCAGATGAGAACAAATGCTGATGAATTTGTATTGCATTATGCCTTTGTTTACTGATTTGGAGGAGGAACGACGTCGTTGTTAACACCGATTTGCTTTTCTGTAAGGCATGTCTGACCGATTAATTTGACTTGACATTCGTGGTAATGGCGTTTTGTTGGAGGTATTTCTTAAAATATCAAATACATGTTTGGGTTCCCTTGGCAGGTTGGTTGCTGTTCATATTTTATGTGACGCTGTAAATCGTCACCTCCATCCCCTAAAAGCTAATCATATATGACAACAAATAAATATTAGACTTGAGATTTGTGTTGTTTAGCTGGGGGGGGGGGGCATGTGTTTATAGTCCGCCAGGATGTGTGTGTGTGTGTGTGTTGAAGTAAAGACACTTACAGTGGAAGAAATATCTTTTTATGAATTTTATATCGTCCGTTTGTTGTAACATAAAAACAAAGATTAATATATCTGTCCGCTGAAACCTGAACCAAGTTTCGAGAGTTCTCCCAGGAGGTTGTGCTAAAATTTCACAACCTCTACCCTCTCCCGAATGTTATCAAATCGAGAAGAAAAAATAATTAAGCAATGCAGTGTGCCTGGTATTACGTCGGTGTCTTTGACTCAAACACCCTTGTGGTGCCAGCGTTGAACAGACGACAGATATCGCACAGATTTGGTAAGCCGCGGCTTCGCGGAGTTCGGGACATCATCAGCGCTCGGCGGCTGGGAAATCGATAGCCAGCCCCGCGGCCAGCCAATCAGAGGCGCCTGACGGTGTGGGCCGATTTTCCCAGGGTTTTGAAGCGTCTGGAAGGGGGCGCCGTAACCTCGATAGCTCTCCTCGGAGTGTGAGGACGAGACGATGGGGAAAGAAAGAAAGAGGAGAGAAAATAACTCCAATAAAAAGAAGAAGAGAGATGCGTTGCGCATTTGGATCAAAATTACAAATTGCATCTGGCAGTGAGTTGGGTTGAAGCGGAGGAAAGGAAGCGGGGTGCGGTTTGCGATATTGTGTGTTTGAAAGGGGGGGGGGGTGTTGTAATGTACGAGTGAGTGCAGTGCCTCCGTCGGTGCCAGTGTTTCTCGTTCCCCATGCTTTAGGAGGGGAACATTGAAAAAAAGGACAGTAGAATTTGTTGGGGGGTAGATGGATCGGGTTGACAGTATGTCGTCTCTTCTAGAAGAAAGGAAAGGGCTTTTGTGATTGGCATTCATCTCTTGGGTGTGCTTGGTCACATGATTTGATTTTAGATGAAGAAAATAAATGAAATCCCTTCATCTGTGGTGAAATGGTGTGGAAAGTGAATTAAGTGTGTATAGTTTGGGACTGTCGTTCGATGTGGTTTCGTGCCTGCTGTTATACACGATGTATTAACCCATTGCATGTATTATGCTGTGGCTAATGTGTTTATTTTATATTGAAATGAAATTGTTCAAGACGTCCATCTAAGACAACCACTTTTCTCTTCGACAATAGGCTATGGGTTACCATCATTGCCAATTTCGATTTTAGATTTAAAGGGTTAATCCTATAAACATACAGTGTTACAATTGCATCACCACATCGTGTTTCCTTATCTCTGACCTGGCCTCGGTGAAATGTGGCCCTGTGACTACATTTGCCCGCGGACTCATGATCACGGGAACTGGCGAATTTTTTCCCCAGCGCGAAACGGTGGCCAGATGCGTCAGTGGATGACGGCCGCTATGACGTGGCAGGCTGAGTGATAGCTGCTGGCAAGGAGCCAAATAATAACGGAATAAAATTCGTGGCCGTGGTCTTTTCAGCAAATGGTTACTTTTTTTTTAAATTCTAGAGTTGTATGTCCCGGTTGATAGCTTTTTTTTTTTTCGGGGGGGGGGGGGGGAGCGGCAGTCAGTGGTTGCAGCATTTCAGAGCAAGCGAGTGAAATGCAGAGGGGAGGTATAAACATAGACAAAGTAGCATTGGTCTGTGTCACGTAATCACTTTATGCGACATATATCTTCCTAGTGACAAGATAATGGTGTACAAATTAACCACTGGGGCTGGGGTTCATGCTATCAATAGGTCCTTGTATCATCACTGTTGATTGCTAAGTAGCGACAGATGGTTTTGATCCAGCTAATAGGGCGGGGAGGGGGGGGGGGGGC